TTTGTTGTTGTTTTGCTTTGTTTTGTTTTTTTGAATGTCCAGAGGACCAGATTTAACTTTTTTAGATTTTTCTACTTGGATTATTGAGCATGCATCAGGATAAAAACAAGCTTCTTTTTTAAACGCAAATTAGTTTACAGAAAATAGAAGAAAATGAAAAAAAAAACATTAAAACTACACTGAAAGTTTATTTTATATAAAGTAAATATTGAATTAAAATTTTAAATGTAGCATTTCATTATGTGCTGAATTCTTAGGCCTTCTCTGAAAGCATTGAAGGCCCTGAGGCTTCTCCAGTGCTGTAGACAATACAACACCAATATTGTTTATGTGTAAGTTATAGTCATTCCTGTTGTTTATATTTCATATATTCAAGTATAAACTAAATAACCACCTAAATGTCAGTAGTGCTTGACTGTAGGTCTTTTTAGTCTATGTGTATACATCACTCAGCATGTGTAGTGTCAGCCCTGCTGTTTCCTACAAAGAATTTCATACCCTTGGATAATTGTTTCTCTGATTTAGTATTTTACAATGTGTCTGTGTCTTACCATATGCTTGGTGCTTCTGTCCCGCTGATTTCTAGGAAGTCATATTTGTCTTCTAATAGGAAGTCATTGAAAATAAGAGCTATAGTGTCCCCTGGTTCAGCGAGGATTGACCATGTACAATCCAGGTTGTTGTCATACTCTGCTGGATATCCAGGACTGGTTATTGATCCTGCGGTGCCTCGTAACGTACCGCCACAGGCACCCTCCGCTGGTGAAAAATTGAGACAGAGACAGGTAATCAGAAAAAAATAGGACATCTAAAATAAATGACAACTTACATTTAATGGCTTGTACACCTTTTTTTTTCATATTGTTCTGCAACAAGTTTTTATCTGTAATATACAAGTTGAAATACCTGCATATTCCAAAGTATTAAAACTTTAAATGTGTTTGCATATTTTTGGCTGTTTTCATAGCTGGTGATGATTCAGGTGGTTGAGTCAGCCTCCCCACCATCACAGACATCTACACCTCCAGATGCAGGAAGAGGGCCACCTGTATCATGAAGGACCCCACTCATCCAGCTCACACACTGTTTGCCCCGCTCCCCTCAGACAGGAGGTTAAGGAGCATTAAGTGTAGAACCAGTGAGGAACAGCTTCTACCCTGAGGCTGTTAGACTCATAGATCTCTAACCAGGATAATCACTGTGAAAAAAATCACATCATGTTGCTGCTGATCTATTTCATGTTGCTGCTGATCTGTTTCATGTTGCTGTGTTCATTCATACTCATCTGTTCGCAAAGACTCATGTTCGTGCTGCTGTTTGGCGTATTGTTTTTATACTGTTAGTGATTAGATCTTATTACTGTTTTTCTTTTACATGTTATACTTTGTTGAATGTAACTGGGGGGGCAGCACGGTGGCGCAACTGGTAGAGCTGCTGCCTCTCAGCGAACAGGTCCCTGGTTCAAACCCCGGTCCAGGGGCCTTCTGGGTGGAGTTTGCATGTTCTCTCCGTGCATGCGTGGGTTTTCTCCGGGTACTCCGGTTTCCTCCCACAGACCAAAAACATGCATGTTAGGCTGATTGGTAACTCTAAATTGTCCCTAGGTGTGAGTGAGAGAGTGAATGGTTGTTTGTCTCTATGTGTCCCTGTGATGGACTTGCGACCTGTCCAGGGTGTACCCCGCCCCTCGCACAGTGATTGCTGGACATGGGCACCAGCGACCCCTGTGACCCAAAATGGAATAAACGGGTAAAGATAACGGATGGATGGATGGATGGATGGATGTAACTGGGACCCTGTGTACACAATTTTGTTCCACCAGATGTACCACATGTCGTGCAAATGACAAATAAAGAACCTTGAATGATTTTCCAATAGTTTACATTATTATTATTTCTACTTGAAAACTATATTTTATATAGGGCCTGCAGGCTTTAAACTTGTCATTGTTCAGAATGGACAAATCCAACCTGGAGCAAAAACTTGCTTTATCCTGATGTATGCTCAATAATCCAGGTAGAAAAAAACTCTTTATTTAGTTTTTTTCTGTTTTCCTAACTTTTCTTATTTTAGAGATTCAATGCTAATTTTATTCACTGCTTTTAATTTAAGGCTTCAGAATGACATGCCATGGAGAATATGTACTTTCTACTGTATTGTGTACAATCATACTGTCAACATGCTGTGACTGTCATAAATGTCACACAATTGCAAAGCTCAAATAAACCAAAAAGTGTGTAAGTAAGAAAGTACATACGAAAGAAAGAAATCTTACCTCTACAAAACGGTGATGGGAAGTCCCACTGTGCTCCACTGCCAGGTGACACAATGCATGTGAGAATACTGTGCCCTTCCAGCACAAACCCCGACTCACAGCTGTATCGGATTTTGTCTCCTATGTTGTACCGTGAACCGTGAATTACTCCGTTTGGAATAAGGCCAGGGGTGCCACATGTATGGCTGGGCAAAACTGAAATGCAGAAAAAAAGAAAGGTAAATTGAAGGAGAAGATTAGAAATAAAAAAAAGAAACTAAAAATGATGCTTACAGCAATAAACAAATAAATATACTTGAAACCAACAAAGCTAAGCAATTAACTAAACCAACAACAGAAGAAAAACCTATGCAGCAGAATACCCTGTGCAGATATTAGAACGTTTTTTCCCCCTATGATGCTAAAGGGAAAAAGGTGATTTATTCCTTTAAGTCTTCAAAAAGTTAAAGTCTTTACAACCACCAAGTCTTTTTTCCCTTCATAATAAACATACAGTATTCATGTGTCACAGTGACAACTGTTAAACATAGATTCAGAACCATGGGAAAGCATCAGCAATATGGAATGCCAAAGATACATTTATGTGGTTTTCTAAGGAATCTAAAAATATTTCATTGACAGGGTGGTATTGAGATGTCTAACTGGCATTTTGCCTCCAATGTGCATCTGTTGTTGTGCATTCTTAGATGACACAGCTCTACAGTGGGAGAAGCTACAGGCAGCTCATGGTATAACTAGGCCAAAATCTACTGTGACTGTAGCCAACAGGCCTGAAATCCACAGAAGGGGCAGCTACACAGTGGCTATAATACAACCTGGACGAACTCCACCGTCTCTAACCCTGCTGTACACTGTGTGTATTTGTATAACTAGAGCATGTTAACTTGCTGGGTGTGTATTGCATGTGTTTAATGGTTTTGATTTTGTGTGTCTATCTATGGGGACGCACAGCATAGTGTGTCTACATGTAAGGGGTGCTCAGTGAGTCAGTCTGTGTGTTTGCGTATGCTGTTCCAATTAAACGCCGGCATGGTAATTAGACAAAGCTTCATCCCTGAGACCCTGAACTAGGACAGAGAAAAAAAAAAAAAAAAGAAGCAGTGGGGTGGGAGGATAACATAATGAAGAGAGCAAATAGAGTAGGACGAAAGAGTCATAACTCTATAGACAAAAGAGAAAGAAAACAAAGCAGAAAAACTAGAAAGATGCAAATGAAGAAAGTTAAACAGGAGAGAGAGATGGAGGGAAAGGAGAGAGATTGCTGTCAGAGAAAAAAAAAAGAGGTGAACTAATTGCAATGGACCCCTAACATGTATAATTTACTTTAATGGACTCGTTATTTGGATTGTATGTAGTCATGCATCAGAAGCAAGTTACTTCCAGTCAGCTGACCATGTGATCCTTTGTTCAAACATGCGTTCTTTTAATAAGGTGAGGCACACAACTAAGATGAGGCTGTGAACTACGGCACTGATTAAAGGATGTGCAGAGGGAAGCAATGAAAAGAGCAGAAACTGAAAGGAGCAAATGATCCAAGACACATACACAATGGAGAACTGTTTCTGCCAAGTCGGCATGTTTAAAAGAAACAAACCTGACTCGTGCAAAAAACGTTCCCTCATTTGGACTAAGTCTGAGGAAGACATGTCAAAGAATCAAGAGAGATTTCAGCTCGTAACCAGAACACAAGTACCCAGCAAACCTTCTACATAACCAGAGATACGTACAGTGTATTTTTAGTAAATGAAAACAATGCTCTGTCATCTCTAGTGAATACAGTAACCTGCAAAAATCTGAGGCAGAGGGACAGAATGTCAGCTAGAGACCACTGTGTCGCTGTCCGTGTAAGATCTAAAATACAATTTTGTAATTGCAAATAATGTGAAAGGAGACCTTTTACTCAAGCAACATACAATAAATAAAAAGGTATATATCAAAAATAGGTAATGTAATATAAATAACTATGGTTCTTTAAAAAAAAAGAAGCAAAAAATAGCAGTTTTATTACTTGCATATTAGCTATTTATAATTAGAGACCATTTTTTATCTCCATAATTGAACTTTGCATTACCAAATGCAGAAGGCGTTATTAAAAAAACAAGAGCAGACTTGGTTGGTCAAGAGGAAAAACAATACAAAATGTAATTTTACTCTTTTCATTTCCTTGTGAAAACTGGGTAATTTATAAGCATATTTTCTATATTATTTGTGTTGCTTTCTTTACAGTATAATCTGTGTTTAGAGCCAAAGGAAAATAACACTTTTATATAAAAAAGTTTTACTGTGATGAATCTTCCTCACTTTGCAAACTTTGTGTTGACAATTCTGAAAGAAAATAGTGTTTAGTTCTACAATTCCTAGTAAAATATAGAACTGGCTGGTTTTATTTCCCTCTGCCATTGTAAAGATAAAGCTAAAGAAACTTGCAGATGCATGAAATGTTGCTACTAATTGGTGCAACGTAATGCTTTTAATTGTCTTGCTTTTTGTTGTGGTATTGAATTTTATTTTATTTATTTTTTTTAGACAAGGAATGCCTACTAACAAATAATATAGTGAAAATAGTGAACTAATTGTTTTTATTCATTTGCATTGTTTGTTACAAATAATGAGTTTACATATAAAAGGTTATTCTTCTTTGGTATTAAAGTTATATTTTTGTGTATGTATGACTGTGTTTGAGTGTTTTTTTTTATTTTTTATATAGTCAGTATTATACATGAAAACATGTTTGGATAGGCTTAATGAATCATAAATCTATTGCACACCTGTTGCCTGTTGTTAGATCTTTTTGACATCAAGTCCTGACAAACAAAAACCAAATGGTTTCTCTAAAAATCAATGGTTCAGGCAACATACTGGTTAAATAGTTTCCCTTTCAGGCACACCTTGTTTAAATGTAACACGTTTTATAACAGAGGAAATAATTTACTGTCAAAAAAATGTACAACTCATAGATGTCAGAGTCCCTTATATGTGTTTGTCAAAAAAAAAAAAAGTGTCATGACGTTAAAAGAAAATCCAATAGAGCAGCTAAATGCAAATAATGTTAGAGTTTAAAAATGCACTGGATAGTTTATTTCAATAATGATTTATTTTTTTAGTTTTTTTACAGAAATGATCAAGTTTTAAAGGTTGGAACCAAGAATGCAGACTTAAATTGAGGTTTTCAATAAACAAACTTTTTATTTTATTTTATTTTTTACCAAATTAAAATAGAAAGCTGACATGGCAGCAACATAACAAGGAACACAAAGAATCAATAGGAGTGCTGGGCTAATCACTGAGAGAGAAAACTGAATTGTGGTATCATACCAATAATGGTAAATGGACTGTACTTGTACGGCGCTTTTCTATCTTACCAAGATACTCAAAGTGCTTTACACTACAATCTGTGTCCTCATTTATCCATTCATGCAGCACTCTACTAGAGCTCTACAAAGAATAATCCACTGATGGGACACACATCGAAAGCAATGAGGGGTTCAGTGTCTTGCCCAGGGACACTTCAGCATGTGACTGGTCATTGTCTGGTGGAATCGAACCCCCAACTCTTGAATTTGGAGGACGACTGCTCTAACCACTCAGCCACAGCTGCACCCATTAATGCACCAGAGAGCTGTACAGAGGAGGATTATACAGGTAACAGAGGAAATGACCCTAAAATAAATAAATAAATAAAAAAGTTAAACTAAACACTGATCACAAAACAAATAAAATACTACAAAAGACTGAAAAAACAGAACCTGATAGTTAGATAAAGATTGACTTTGTTTTACCATAAACTACATTTCATACTGTATTGAACGATTTTTGAATACATTTCATACTATGTCAGAACCTTTTTTGTAATAATGGTATGTACTGAAATAAACTGGAATGTTGCACAGTAAATAAGACTGACAGACAGCTGTTGATGTTTGTTTTTAGATTTTTTTTTTTTTTTGGTGAGATTTATAACATTTGAATACATAAATGCATTGTTACTAATTAAATTACAATGTGGCATTGGGAGGGCAAGTGTTAAACATCTGTTAAAGGGCAGTGAAGGTCTAACATGAGGCACACAAAGCAGGTGGAATACATAAACTGTCTCATAAAGCATGCTCACTCAGAAGGGGGAAACCAGAGCTGTGAACAAATGGAAAGAAGATGCCCTGTGACTAAATATGACTCCATTTCTGCAGAAAATACTTTAAAGTTCCCAAAAGAAGAGCCACAAACTGAAAAGGGTCATTAAACAAGCCTTTCTCAGCATTGAGTTCAGACACTTGTCTTCCTTATTTTGTTTGAAGCAAATTCAGCACATACAGTAGAAGCCATACTGCTATGGTTTCAGTGATTAATGATATAACATCAGCTATCCATTGTCTACACAAATGCATTCAAATTATAGTATATATGTTTTACTATAGTCTCTATGTGGCCCTGTGATGGACTTGCGACCCGTCCAGGGTGTCCCCCGCCCCTCGCACAGTGATTGCTGGACATGGGCACCGGCGACCCCC